GTTAGGGTGTCTTTAATCCATGAGCGAACTAAGTCAAAGACACGGCAAAACTTAGCTAAACAGGCATCCATATCGCAAGCAAGGCTAGAAACTAACTTCCAATTGAGACAGACTATCCTGTTTGTTGATTTGCTCAGGTGTCTCTGTAAGATTAAAGCGCAGTGCTCAGCTACATACGCATCCGTCTGAAGTGTAGTAGTAACCGTACCAATTGTCAATAGTGGAGTGGATCTGTTCTCACCCTTTGCGTTCTTGAAACTACAAATAACGTTCCAGACAAGAAAAAAGACTCACAGAACCTCTGCAGGTAATGTCTTGATATAAAGAGGGGCATTAAACACCTGGCTCACAAGACTGGTCAGTGGCCAGAAGCTGGCCAACCTTGCGGCTTTATATCCATCTACAACTGTGGGGGATATTGCTGTGATTACTAGGCAAAAGAAAACCCAAGATACGTACAAGTAGGGGAGTGGTAAAGGCCCATAGTAACTTGTTACTTCTCAATCTAAATGAATGCTTTACTACGCATTATATGAGAATAGACGATAACACTGCGAGTATTGCTGTTAACCCAGTAAACGTGACATGGGCTCTACCGCTATTCTCTTGGTGAAAACGTAATTTTTCACTCGTTGAGTCTATGGAACTCTGATTACCTAGTAGTCTAGCAAATGTCGAGCGAGCGGCAAGCCAATGCTTTGTGTGTCGCCTTGCAATTGTTCCAGAGCCGAGCAGGTGTGCGTCAAATAGTGAATTGCTGCGAAATCTAGCTGTTCAACTCTGAACTTCAACACTGGAAATGAAGACGAAAACAACTGTGATTTCGTCAGAGATGCAACGCAAGAGCTTTAAACAGCTGAACATTAATATGCTCTAAACTTCAGCATAAGGTAGAGTGTATAGCCAAGGTTAGATATCGAGTTGAGATGCGCACTAGAGCGACGCGTCTGCGCATCAATCATCCATGCAAGCAAAATGATGGATGGCACTAGAACCATCTGACAATGCGTCTTGAAAGTTTAGGTATCAATATCTTCAGGAAATCACATGCTGGTCCGACGGGTTCGGTGCCGCGTATGCTTGATCCCGGCTCCGACGGCGCCCCGGACGGATAGATGTGGGGTTTTGCCAACGGAAACACGTTGCCGGGCCGCCAAGAGAGTGCGACGGGCCAACTGTCAACCGAGATGTCTTCACCGATTGAGCTCGTGCATCATCACCGAAACTAGAACTGGTAGTATCTAAAGCTCTCTACCGTCTTCCCCTTAGCCTTGCTAGTGGTAGCGATAGTCTGTGCCATGCGATCTGCAACAACAGCAACGATGGTCACCCACGGTGCCACGTAAAGCCATGCATAACCCAATTGGTGGCCGCCACTGATCATACCGAGGTTGGAGATCTTCCATAGTTCGGGCGATGGTCTAATGCTGTGCGCGCGGCGTGGTAGATGCACAGCATTTTGATAGTATTGCTCTTCTAGAATGATCGTCGGAACTCTTAGTTGAGGGCTCGCCCAATAAGGACAGCTCCAGCAAGAGTATGAACCCTCCCGACCGAGGCACTCTTCTTTCGCTGACGTTTGCCGTTCGCACTCGCATAAGTTAGTTCCTTGATGTGTGGCTCGACTTCATGTTTCGACAGCTCACTGTCAGTCCGGTGTGACCAACCAGCCGCCGACATGAATGAGGAAGAAATTGTTAAGACATGCAAGCCCCTGCATGGCATCCCTACGCCAGCTGCAAGATCTACGCCCGTGGCGCGCACGTCCCACCAGAAATGCCTCGGCAGCAAGCCTCCTCAACAGAAAAAATCCTCTGATCGCATCAACGCAGGCAAGACATAAGAACTTCAAGTCAGCCGGCCTGACCACGCTAGACGCAACTCAGCAAGAAAAGTAATCCAGTCGTGAACATGGCCGAAGAACTCGACATTCTGATCTTGGGCGCTGGCATCTCCGGCGTCAACGCGGCGTACCGCGTGCGTACGGAGCTGCCAGATAGCAGCTTCGCCGTGCTGGAAGCTCGTGACGTCGTCGGTGGCACGTGGTCCTACTGGAAGTACCCTGGCTTCCGCTCCGACTCCAACATGACCAACTTTGGGTTCGGGTGGCACCCGTGGCCTCATGACAAGAAGATCATTGAAGGCGCGCCAATCGCTGCGTACATTGAGGATGCGGTCAAGACCCATGGCCTCGACAACCATATCCGCTACCGCCACAAAGTCAAGTCGTCCAGCTGGGACAGCGATGAAGCGAAATGGACGGTGACCTGCGAGACCCCAGAGGGCGAGAGGCAGATCAAGGCCAAGTTCTTGTTCGTATGCTCTGGCTACTACTCGTACGAGAAGGCACTTGAGACACACATTCCAGGCATCGACAACTTCAAGGGCCAAGTCATCCACCCGCAGTGGTGGCCCGAAGACCTCGACTACACCGGCAAGAGAGTTATTATTATTGGTTCCGGCGCGACAACAATGACATTGTTCCCGAATATTGCGAAGACAGCGGGTTCTACCACGATCCTCCAGCGAAGTCCGTCCTATGTGTTCGCACTTGCGGCTGAGTCAGGCTTCGACAAGTCGCTGAAGAGGTTTTTGCCTCTCTTCCTCGCCAACTGGATGATTTTGTTGAAGGACCTCATTCTCGAGACATTCTTCATCCAGTTTGTCCTAAACTTCCCCGAAGCGGCTAAGAAGTTTCTGAGAATGGATGCGAAGCGTCGCTTACCGAAGGGCTATCCAGTCGACATCCACTTCAAGCCTCGCTACAACCCCTTCCAGCAACGTCTCAATATGTGTCCCGACGGCGATGTCTTCAAGACACTACACCAGCCAAACACCGAGATCGTAACCGACCACATCGACACCGTCACAGCCGACGGCATCCGCACCAAGTCTGGTCGCCATCTCCCTGCCGACATTATCATCACCGCCACGGGTCTGCACGTACAGCTCTTTGGCGGCACCGAAGTCACCGTCGATGGTGTCCCTGTGAAGGTTGGCGAGAAGTACTGCTGGCGCGGATGCATGCTGGACGGAGTACCCAACGCGGCTGCCATTATTGGCTACGTCACCCAGACCTGGACACCCGGTGCTGACACCGTTACGAGAATCTGTATCCGTGTGATCAAGCAGATGCAAAAGACAGGTGCTGTCTCGGCCACACCGGTACTGTCTGAGGAGGAGAAACGTGACGCCCCCCGATTGCCATGCGTGGACGCTACGTCCAATTACTTCAAGAAGGCACATGGCCGGATGCCTGTGGTGACGAACCAGGGTCCTTGGTATGGACGGAAGAATCTTATTGTGGACAAGCTTGCTCTGTGGTTTGGTAGTGTGACAGTAGGCATGGATTACCGGGTGGCGACGAAGTCTAAAGACATCTAATGTATACACCAATGATGATGAATTCGACGCGTTGTTCAGGGTGGCTGCTATTAGGTTGAGCGGAATACATTCGAGGTAGCTTGACAATGAGGCTCAGTTAACCTTCTTACATCAGACCTTGCAGTGCCTCTTGTTCTAGCGTGCTTTTTGTGTCGATCGTGGGGCTGCGCAATACGACTCTCGATCCTTTTGCGGCAATTCGATGTTGACCCCTGGCCTCCGGATGAGCCGTGGTCTTACCCACAGGTGGGTGCTGGCACCCAAGCCAACCCTGGAGGTTTGTTTTGTCGTCAGCACTGGTGTTACTGCAGATCAAGTAAGAATCTGGAACACCTGGGACTTTGGTTGACTTTACTGTGGATGCAGGGACTGTACTGCGGGAGATCTAACCACTTTGGATCCAACGAAGCTGGCTATCCAGCAAAGTTCTGCCAAGCTTGACGGACAAACCTTCAACGGGTTCTCCAGCATGGGAATTGTGTTCCGTTGCTTGGCTTTCGCAGTTCGATGGCAGACGGAATGGCTTTGGGACAGGAGGAACATCCCGTGCACAATCACGTTGGCCTGGCTAATTTTGGGACAAGCCCAGACATAAAACGAAACGTAGCAGCGGGATCGCGGCAAAAACTCCCGACCAAACCAGTCTCAGGAAGTTTCCAGCACTAGCGACGGGATCGACAGTATCCCGGCGGGAATTCTCCTGCAAAGAGACCCATTCAATGCAATGTTATGTAGTAAGCCTATTAATTCTCCGATGAACATCTCAACTACAACCCCTGGTGAGGCACTGGTGAAGATGGTCGTCCTGCCATCTTGCCGCGTTGCCGTCCTCATCCAAACACAGCTGGACACCGCCTCAACCTTTGTCCTGGACCTGGTAGTCTCGTCTATCTTGAGCCAAATCTGACTTTGGACATGTGACGGCCTCCAACCATGTTGCGTCCGAGCATGCAATGCAAGACATGAGGCTCAGGGCACGGAACTCCCAACCCCCGACAAGTATCGCCTCACCCGATCTTTCCTCCTCACATCATTCCCGTTCCGTGCGGGGGATTCCCACTTTCCGTCCGCCCTACGCGTCCAGCTTAAACCAAACGAGCCTCTTCTCCTCGTTGTTTTCCTGGGCCTCAAAAGCCGAGAGCTTTGCCCCTGACCCCGCCGTTCCAACCCCACGCGAAGCCGTGGTTGCGATTCGTCGCCCACATGAAACTGCAACACCAGAACACTCCCAACCAGGTAAGCCTCGAAGCGTTCGCCAGACCGTGATGTTTCGGATGAAAATGCTTGCGTTGCCAAGAGACGTCAGTCGACGCCTGCCATTCGATATCCGCTGAGTCGGCTCTCGCGGCACCAGTGCGGCAAACCCGCCTGGTAAACTTTGCCAGAACTCTCCCACCCCATCCGTCCCGATGCGTCTATCTGGCCTGCCCAGACATTGAAATACCCATGCCTCCTCGATAACCATCTTCATTCTTCGTGCGAACTCCTACTCTGCAGTGTCCAAACTCCGTGTGTGCCGGTCCACTCGATAATCTTCAAATCTTAACTTCCAGAGCTGTGCTCACATCGTTCAATCTACGATCCTTTAATCCTTACAATCACTCACAACCGCCAATATGCGTTTCACCGTCGCCCTCACTACCCTGGCCGCCGCCGCCATCGCTGCGCCCCTCGACTCTCTCGTTGCCCGCCAGGACGACGTCAACGCTATCCTCAACGCCCTCGCTGCCGAGAACCCCGAGGATGCCGAGACCGCAAGGAAGGGTCTGAAGGCTCGTGAGCTCCAGCTCACCAACGATGACGAGCAGGAGGAAATCTTCAAGCGCGAGCTCCAGCTCACCCAGGACGCCGAGGAGGAAGAGATCTTCAAGCGCCAGGATGATGTCAACTCCATCCTCAACGCTCTCGCCGCTGAGAACCCTGAGGACGCCGAGACCGCCAGGAAGGGCTTGAAGGCTCGTGAGCTCCAGCTCACCAACGATGACGAGCAAGAGGAAATCTTCAAGCGCGAGCTTCAGCTCACCAACGACGATGAGCAGGAAGAAATTTTCAAGCGCGACGTTCAGCTCACCAATGATGACGAGCAGGAGGAGATCTTCAAGCGTGACGTCCAACTCACGAATGATGATGAGCAGGAGGAGATTTTTAAGCGTGACGTCCAGCTTACCAACGACGACGAGCAGGAGGAGATCTTCAAGCGCGACGTCCAGCTTACCAACGACGACGAGCAGGAGGAGATTTTCAAGCGCGATGTTCAGCTTACGAACGATGATGAGCAGGAGGAGATCTTCAAGCGTGACGTTCAGCTCACCAACGACGCAGAGGAGGAGGAGATCTTCTAAATCCTTGACTTGGCCAGAAGCCCTGCACTAGAGCGTAGCTTCGCAGTGTGATAGTTTGCATACGCGGTGGAGTCTGTGCCTTTATTCGTAACTATCAGATACGTTGGGATCTGGCAACACGTATTAATTGAGGACCTCAACACTATGTAACGAAGCATGCCACGCTGTGTTATGCCATGAGGATGTGTCAAGTCGTCTAAGTCAAACTACTCCGGGAGTCTGACTGACAATGTCGGGTGGTATCGAATACAAGCTGCAGTTACTATCGCAGCCTTCAATGTTACGGAAGAGTTGGAAAAATACATTGAGATTGGGTATCAGTCCATTTACCAACCGGTGCATGTTCTTGTCACACGTAAATACAAATATGCATCATCAATCGCTACATCAAGTAGTGTTCGTCATTATAAACAGCATGTTCACCACGTCTCGGCGGAGCGACGCGTGAGCCGTACCCAAAAGTCTCGAGCGACAAAGAAGATCGCACTGAGCGTCTTGATGGGCTTTTCGGGGTTCATGACAGTGAAGTCATATCTCCGTAGCAGCTTAAGTCACGTAAGCCACCGTTGATAAAAGTCCACGAATTGGAAACATACCTCGACGAAAACCTTGTTCAGCTCCATCATGGCAATGGACTTTCCCAAGCATGAGTACTTGCCATGGCCGAAGTGTGTGTCAACGGCTGCGTTCATTTGCTTCAGCTCCTCTGCACTCGCCGAAAGCCATCGCTCAGGGCGGAAAACATCGGCGTCAGAGCCCCAAACCCACTGTGACCGACCGACGCCGAAGAAGTTCTGCCCGACTTGTGTGCCTGCGGGAACGTAGTAGCCGTTGAGCACGTCACCGCCTTCAGGTACCTGCTTGAACCCTAGTCCTGTTACTGGGGGATAAAATCGCAGGCCCTCGCGAATGACGGCTTGGAGGTACGGAAGCTTAAGAGCTTCGGAGTTGGTGATGGGAGAGCTGATTGAGCCCGCCGCTATGGCGCCGTCGATTTCCCGCTGGAGTCTGCGGTAGGCGACGGGATTATTTATCAACGATAGTAAAGTCATGCGCATCGCTTGCGCGGCAGAATTGGTGCCAGCAATCCTTTCGAGATGTTAGTTAAGATGCCCTGGGTGTATTTTTGGTTTTGCATTACATATGGATGTAGACGATCTGGATGAGCTCGTTCAGGTCGAGGCCCTGATTGATGAAGGCCTGCATCATATCCTTCTGGGGCTTCGCTCCAGGCTGTAGTCTCATTTCGGCATAGTTCCTAGCGAAACTGCAGCATGTCAGTCAGCGTACATGAGTATGGGAGGTGTGCGACTCACCCCATCAAACGCCCAAAGCCGATTTGATCATTCTCTGTAGGCAACATCAAACGGAATGGCCACTTGTGAACAAGTCGACCTAGCCATGGAAGCACCGAGACGACGTTCATGATGGGCAGTGACGACTCGTTGATCTCGATGTACCGAAACAGATCCCTGTCTTCTGCAAGGAATCCAAACGCGCCGCCAAAAGAAATGTCCCCAATAGCGTCTAACGCAAAGTACTGCGTCTTCTCAGCGAGATCTAGCGGTCGGAACTCGGCATCGATAGAGACATAATGCTGGTCAACCAATTGGACGAAATTCATGAGCTGGCGGTCGATGCCCGTCTCGAAGCCAAAACCCTCGTTTTCCTTTGCAGCATACTATCGATCTTGAGAGTTAGCTACTGACATAACTAGCAGTAGGGTGCAGCGCCCCTGCTTCGCTTCGCTGTAGCATGTTTGAGAGATATCGATAGAAGAGGATGACTTACGGCCGGTGCCATGCGTGCCCTCATGGCCTTATGTTCCTCTTCATCCCGCATCGAGACGACATTATCAACGCCGGGGGTGATGCGGCCGGAATCGTAGAAATCGCCTTTGGTGTATGGCGAGCGGACGGCCGACATCTTGCGCAGTGAGTCGGGGTCAGTGCATAGCAGCTCGTTTGGGCCGATGCGCGCCAGGGGTCCTGTGATTGTGTTGATCAGCGTCTGTTGTCGGTATGGTCTTGTTGCTTGTGTACGTTCCAAGCCATTGAATCAGAGGTCCTATCCTTCGCAAAAGATGTCCATGAAAGGGAAACCAGGAAAGAATGCTTACCATATTTCCTAGCAACGTCATTCAAGTGCTCGTGGTAAGTCCCTCCAACTGCTTTCTTCAACTGCCACAAAACCGAAACCGATGCTAGGAAAGGGCCGGGGATCTTTCTCAGCCGATACCATGATCGGAACTCCCACACCAGAAATGCAACGAGTATTGGCAGTCCAACCAACTTGATCAGTAACCCCGAGGAGTCGGGAAACCACGCGCAGCCGACGGTGGAAGACAGGATGCCGGTCATCTTTCCTCGCTATCCTTCCGATTTCAATCTACCCGCCCTGGTCGTTTCGCCCGTAAGACTCGCTGTGCCGCTTGCTGGCGGGCTTGGCTCGCCGCCGTGGCACGTCGCACGGGGTTCAGCGACACGGGGGAGGCAAGAAGCAAGTGTTTCTGTTGGTGCTGTCAAAAACGCATGTCGCTCGTTCGATCCGCCTCCGATGTTCTCGCTTCGACTCGCCCCGTTCCGCTCCCGTTCTCAATTACCGTCCGGCTGGGATTTGATGTCTCGAAGGCCAACGATGCCGGTCGTCAATTTGCGTCTCTCGGGGTTGTGTCTCTTTCGATATGACCGAGCTGTTGTTTCGTCGCGACGTTGTCCCCCGGTTCTATTTTGTCATTTCTCGTTCTTTCGCTGACCCGACAGGTTGGTAACGAAACGGGGAGTGTGAGGCACAGTTGAGCGGCGGTGAAGAATGGTCCCAGTTCCAGAGCCTCGGGATCAGAAAGCAAACACAAGAAATTGGCCCGTGAGCGAGCTGACGATGACAGCGTCAAGGGACAAACGCTACTGGAAGGTTTTGGGGACGAGCTTCATTTATGACCGCGCACGCAAGATTAACTGTACTTTTAAGACGCAGAATCATGGCTGAGCCGGGGACAAGCCTGGTCCGGCTGGGGATGCCGCTAGGTAACGCTAGGTGAAGGACGTGGTTGTGTGGATGACAGGATGTAGTGCTGGCTAAGGGTCTTCTACCACCTCGGCCTGGTGACTGACTACTGCGTCTAACGCACGCAAGTAAGCTAACATCCTGGAGGTTCAGGTGGTGGTTGGCCGAAGCCAGCTCATGGTTAGGGGAAGGATGAGACGGGACGGCGGCCTGGACCGGCCTGGTCCAAGGATGGCTTTACAGACAGGATATGTTTGGATCAAGCACTGAAATGGTGACTTCAGGCCAGTCATTCCCATCACGTTCTTTGTTCAAGATGATGACTGTCCTGCTGCTCAAAACCAATCATCTGGAACAGAACAGCCAAGTGAGAGAAAGCTAGCCCCAAGTAATCACACAGCCACCAGTCCTTCGTATGCACGTTGACAATGCAAGCCATCGGAAGAGCTCCCATCTACGGCGCCACTTTTCGCTCACCGGCCGTCCCATCTCGTCCCAAAATGTGAATCGGATTTCCCAAAGTGCTTCCTCGGGTCTCACCTTCGGGTTCTAGTCACAGAATTACCATGCTTTCTGCAGACTCGAAGGTTGCAGCGACTCGACTAGTTCATCCCGACCCTAGGCTTGTTCCATGCACTGGTGCATTGACGAGTGCGCTAACGAGTGCGCCGGCGCGCGTCCCATGTCTGCCACCCTCGACTCTCCAATCACGGCGGTTCGGCCAGCGGATTCAGGTGACGGCCGGTCTTTCAGATGCCACCGTGTGTCCCGCTTTGTCACCGACTGCACGGCGTTGCGCCGTGAGCTGTGGGACCTATCTCACTGGAAATCAGGAACGCAATTATTTACAGTTTGTCCAGCTCAATTTTGTGTGGGCTTGATGTTCGGCAAATGTAAACTTCAGACTGTCTCTTTGAGGTTCACATGAGCGATGGCGCCGCACTTTCACATGGTCGATAGAGATATTACAATTGCGAAAGACCCATATTTACCCAGATAACTTTAGTTATGAGCATTAGGGGGAACACAATCCTGGGTTTAGAAGTCGGTGTTAGCCGCCTCAGGGCCAAAAACGAGGGCATCGCCGCCAACCATACGACAACATATCATTAAAAGCTTCACAACAGCAAAAAGATGGACGAACAGGGAATCGAACCCTGGACCACTCACATGCTAAGCGAGTATTATACCACTAAACCATTCGCCCAATAGGATGATTTCGCCCGGACTTGAACCGGAGACCTTCAGTGAGCCAGGCGAGGGTCCAGAGGACCTCGATCTGTTAGACTGACGTGATAACCAACTACACCACGAAACCATGTTGTTTGATGACTCATCTGGAGCGGAAACAACATTTGAAGGTTGCGTGTGGTGAATGGAGGGCATCGTGAAGCGAGGGGCGGAGTGGGACGCTGGGTGGACGATGATGGATCCGGAAACCATCCCGAAGTTGTGGGACTGGGAAATTCTAGATGGGCCCATCTATCCGTAGCAGCGGGTTGCAACCCTGAAACGACACAGGGACCGAGGAGACAAGAAGAGTTCAGAGGCATCGTGTAAATGAATTGAAAACTTTTGGCAGTAATCATCCTCCCATATGTACTAAGCAGTCGTAACACATTGTTCATCAAATAACCGGTCTAGTTCCCACGCCATGTAGCCTCGATGATGACGAAGAAGGACAACGGGATCGCCTCCAACCGAGTAACCTCAAACCTCTCGTCTGCCCTCTTGAACATACCCTTCCATGCGTCAACGTGTCTCTCCTTGGTACCAAAGAGTCCCATCATTCTCAAATCCGTGGAGGTGCCCATCTGTTGGATCGATCTAGGCATCGACGCAGCGACAGCAGCGCTCTCCTCAACGGTGCCCTGCTTGCCGACATAGTCGATAAGCAGAACCTTGGAGCCCGGGCGCAATGCCGGCGTAAGACCCTGGATGATCTTGATGGACTCGGCATCGGGCCAGTCGTGGAGGATCAGCTTGATCATGTACACGTCCGCCTGGAGGGTTTGGGGCTCGAAAAAGCTATGGGGCTGGAAGCTCACACGGCCCTTCAGCTCCTCCGGGATGTTCTTGTCGAAAGAAGACTGGCACTCTGGCAGATCCTGGACCGTAATCTTGAGGTTGGGGAAAGTCTTGGCCAGAACGAAACTGTCGTGACCTCCGGAACCGCCGAGCTAGTGTTGTGTTAGTTGATGCGGTAAGGTGAAAGTTCAAAGAGGCGGCTTACATCAACCACACTGAGGTCGCCAGCGTTACCCCAGTCGTACGCGCCCCTGACCATGCCCTCAAGCTGGAAGATCTCTTTGATGTAGTTCATCCACTTGACGAATGTCCTCATGCGGTACCCCTTCTTCTCGCCCTCGCCGTCCTCCTCCATCATCTCCCAAGAGGTCTTGTAGCCCTTGGAGAACTCGCCTCTCTGCCACATGCCAAAGGCAGTCTCGCTCATATCTTCCTTGAGCTCTTTCTTGCCGCGCTGGTACTTGTCCAGCGCGTAAGGAAGGAACGCCATCGGCGGGCCGGCATCGTTCATGATGTTGAAGACGAGTCCGTGGAGACCCTCATTTTGGGCAACAGCCGCGGACCGCGAAGTGTGTCTCACCCGAGTGGTGAGAGGCTTGCCCGGTTCCGTCTCCTCGAAGATTCGGAGGGTATAGGCATGCTCCAGAAGGCGGTGGACAACCTCCTCGGGCAGGTCGACATGCTTGGCAATATCGGCGTAGGACGCGTCGCCGTTGAGGGGGACGGCCGACCAAAAGTCGAAGTAGTTAATGGCGTTGAGTGCTGCGCCGTCGGGGCCGTACTGTAAAGCAATATGTTATTCATGTTGCTCAAACCTCCAGGAAATGTCTCTCGGGGGTGGCGTGACTTACGTTGTGGGCAAAGTTGAAAACACTCTCACTAGGACCTTCGACCAGATACGACAGGTCCTTCAAAGTATCGATCAACTTCTGTCGAAGCAAGAAAGCCTCTGACGTCAGACCACTATAGCTTCGCACACTATCCGCGGCAAGAGTAGGCTCGGGGATCTTGTTGTCGCCCAGGAATTTGGTGAAGTCGGCTGAGAGCTGGCCAATCTGGGCTGCGAGCTCGTTGATAGTAGGCTGTGGTGACGCCATTTTGGGAAAAGGAAGAACAGGAGGGGTATCTGGAAAAGCAGAGAAATCGAGATGGAACGGGAGATGGATCGTTAGTCCACGGCACTTGAACACAGCCGGGGGATCCGTCCCTTATTTACCCGTCCGTCATCTGTCATGATTTGGCCCAGGCGACATGGCCAAGACGGCCTGCGCCTCTTGTCTACATTGTCTGTACCTGCCCATAAGGGTTCGCCGCTGTCGGACTCAATCACGCCTTTACCCCTCCAGCTCGTTAGGTAATTCCTCCGAGTCTACATGCGGTGATCGAGTCTCAGGTGCCGGCACGTTGTCTTGTGTGACGGGGAATACCACGCATCCTGCAGATCAGATAAGATTATCTTATCCATCTTGAAGACATCTTCACTGAGCTACCCCTCCTCGCCAAGCCTCTAAGTCATTGAGTTGAAGAAAAAGTACCGTCTGACCTTGATGCCATACGAGACACCGAAGTCATCGTATTGGCGGGCCGGCAGGCATCCCGCCGGCTAGCTCCATTTCGGCCCCGTTGGCCCCGTACTGTCTGTATTAGACTCTATGGGGTCGGTGGCCGAGGACCGATGGTCAATGTTACGTTGGCAATGAACCAGTCGCCTGTTCCGGTTTAGCGAAGGGTAAAGGTGGTCCATAGTAACCTTCCCGTAAGACTGGCTGTTCTTGCAACCTGTTGATAGCTTGCGATAGGCTAGGGTGCGTCATTTTCTCCAACGTACTCTATGCAGGTGGCCACTACAGGATGTAAGATGATGTAGGTATCAGGCGCCGAGTCCCTCTGGATTCGCTGAATTTCGGTAGTTTCCGCGCGCTGTGCGTCTAGCTGGAGGCGGGACAGAAGCCGCCGGCTACCGCCCCAGCCCGACTTTGACGTGAGTCGTATGAATGGCACATCTCGAATTTAAACTTAATCATCAATCTTAACCAGATTGTTGGGTGTTCGTTCGGAATGTGGGAGGTCGATTACCCCAGACAGCCGAATTTCGAACTTACCAGCCATGCGTCTTCTTTCGTGGTGTAAAGTGGTTGGCTCATTATGAAGTAAAGGGTTTTTTGTCGCATGAGAATCCCGTAAAGCAACGCCAGATCGGAATGGTGGTCAGCGCTGTCAGTCACCATGAAACAGCAAACTTTGGGCGCTCCTCAACCCAATGCTCCACAAATCTTTTCTTGGCTTATTCGTGTGGATGGGAAATCTTGATGTCGGCGGTAAAGTATCCCAAAGAGTGAAAGAGCGAGAGATATATTCGTTCGTTGGGGCCATTCCCCGCTCAACGTTGCTCCGCCCGTCGCACTCTGACAGAAATCTGTCCATCATCGTTCCAGCAATCCTTTAGACAACACATGGGCGGACTACGGGGGAAGACGGTTGTCCGCCCAATGCCCGAGAGAAAGCGTAACCGCAGCCGCCAGCCCACCAACTGTCATCCGTCCTAATTCCCCGGCAGCTTTGTTGACGGCGGAGCTCCACCTGAAGAACTCCACGACAGGTTCTAGGCGAAAATCTATCGGTGTCACTTTCTACAAGGCAAGTTCTCATCGTGAAAACATGGGGCTGTAATCCGTGTTTGTACCAAACCCACCTCAGGCCCCATTAAAATGTAACGACACCACATGGCCTGACCCTAAATCCGGATAGCATGCGGATAGCAACGGCCAGAAGCTGGGGCTAGAGTTAGTTTACATGCTATCTATCCTATCAGGTATTGCGACAGCCAAGTTATTCAGACATGGTAATCCATCAGAATGGAACATGATTGCTTGCTTTACTGCTCACAGTGCCCACCTGTCAGCAAACATAGCTGGGTCCTTTTGTTATTGCGACATACAAGTTAATTAAACAACATTGTCACGCACACCCGCCAAGTACAAGCTGCCTCAAATAGGTTAGTGTGCTTGCCGCTACAGCCCGCGATCACCTCATCCGGCGGCATCATGTACCTCTGTTACGACTGCGCAGTTGAACCCCTCGTCTAGTAAGAGTCAGCAACGCACAATACGAGGCTTATGCAGTCTACGTAGCAACTGACTGTATTCGTATCTACGATGGAGTGGGGCATTTGTGAAGAACAAAAATGCCATGACAACGTATATGTACGCAGTCAACTTATTTGAATTTTCTTGTTCGTAATCTTCCTTCGTTGCCTTTTGCGGTCGTCAACTTACGAACGACGCCCAAGGAAGATCCTGCACCTCGAATTGGAGGACAGGCAGCCCAAGTCACATGACCGTCGCTCACATCCGGTGATGCGGCATGTCTACTCGTGCCAAGTGGGCAGACATTCCTGGTTGGCGGCCTTTGCCGCTGCCCATCACGGCTCCGACACTGAATGTCACCGGCGAACGATGCGAGCGGATCAAGATTGCCGAGCGCTAACCGCGTGGTTAGCATCGAAGCCCACTGCGACAGCACCGCGTCGGCCCGCACCTCTTCCATGATCGCCCATTTTCGGCATCGCATTTTGGACATATCAAGAAGATGGTGTCGCCGCCACCCGTCCAGTTCTTGCTAATTCTGTACCCCATTTTCTGTCATCTTGGACTGGAGATGGTGCTGAGTGTCAGGTATCGCGGTATCTAGGCCATCCCAGCTTCGGTCAGACAACAATCTGGATAATTTGCCATCTCAATGTTCTGAAACACCCCACGAAACCATGCGAGCTCCAACACGCAGTCTCGCACTCTAATACGAATACCATCCCCCCAATCAGGTGCCCGTGCAGCGAAGCTTTGTGTGCCAGATCCGTCATCTGTGCTGTCGTGGTGATTTGTGTTTGCGTCGTGTCGTTCGCCTCGTGTTCTTCTTGAAAGGTGATTTTTAAATCTATCGCAAGTCCACTTGCGTTGTCGCGAAAACATCACCTCCGGTAGGACTTATATCGCAGCACGCATATCGGCACCTCGACGGTCACATCTGGTCTGGAAACCAGACCTTCATTCGTGCTAGCTGCTTCTTTCGACTTCTCTCCAGCCGACGACATACTCGAAGCCTCGACATGGCGATCGGTAGCACGGGCAAGGCCCTCATCGGGATAGGAGCGCTTCTAGTAGTTCTCAACACTGTTTTCGTTGGCCTGCGCCTCTACACCCGAGTAGCCATCGCAAGGACCTTCAAGCCCAACGATGGGTTGCTATTAACCGCATGGGTGTGTGTCCCAATTCTCTTTGCGCAAAGCTGATCTAACCTCGAGCCCGTTCGCAGGCCGCGTTTGGAGCGCTCTACGGTCTAGCGATTATGGGAGTCTTGGGTGGCATCGGTGGATCACTTGCGGACGCTTTCAGCAATGGCACAAGTGGAATCACGCAAGCGCTCAAGGCGCTGTTCTTCCTGGAAATCATCTATGTTGTCCTCACATCCGCCATGAAGGGCAGCATTGCGATGACGTTCATCCATCTGTCGCGCTCAAAAGTTCTCAACATTCTCTTCTGGACTTCCATCGGCATGGACGTAGCCATCAGTCTCGCCTTCATCATTTACCTGCTTGTCCAATGCAAGCCGATCGACAAGGCGTGGAACTTGCTCGACCCTTCCGTAAAGGGAGAGTGCTTGCCGCTTGTCGGACAGCTGTACATGGGCTACGCATTGTCCATCGTCACAGCAATCTTGGATATCCTCCTTATGGTGTCCCCGTTCATCATGATGAGAGGAAGAGGCCTGAACTCGAGGCTGAAGATGTACATCTACGGCATCTTTGGTTTGGGAATTCTGTAAGTTCTCCCCAACGTTTATGCTCTTGCGCCTGCTAAAATAATGTCCAGCGCGACAATCGCGAACGTCATCCGCTTGATCGCACTCATCAAATTGAAGGGCTCCGATGACCAGCTTCGTATGTGTTCCCCCCCTCTCCCCAAGTCCTCCGAATGAAACTCATGAGTATCACAGTGGATGCGGCGCCTGTATTCACCTGGTCTGCCATTGAGGTCAGCATCGGTATCATCATCGCCGGATTGATCGAGCTCGGCCCGCTTGCCGCCAAGTACGGAGTGAAGGGATTCGAATCATTTGCTCCATCAAAGCCTATCAGTGACGATTACGAAATGTCCACTGGGAAATTGTAAATACGAAAGGACAATCCGGTCGACCGGCGGTAATCGGAGATGCAGGAACAAATGGGCCACTAAAGAACTTGCCCTGGGTGATGTTCTCTGGAAGGACACCCTGTGATGATCACAGTCGCGAAAACACAGGCGCGAGAAAGTCGATCTCCTGTCGAGCATGCATTTTTAGCAATACCACATAGCTGCACCAGTTTGTAGATAGTCATTTGTTGACTGAGTGTAAGAATGTCATTGATGAGCATTGAGAATACTTGCTTACATTTGTTCTCACGAGTGTGCTTGGAATGCAAGATACCGTGAGAATGCCATTAACAAGATGACCTATGTATGAACACCAAACATCCTCATCATTTGCGATCAAGTCCACACAAATGGGAATATAAGTGCAACTAGTCGCGGTAGTATCGATATTCACGGTGGACGTCTACGGCTGGCTTCGCCCGTTGTTTCCATCCGCCAAGTTTTCAGTACTCCGGCCTGCCTTCACTTCCTCTCTCCATGTCAATCGCTCTGTCTTGGTCACTCCAGGGCCCTGGTAAACGCTGCCATAAAGTCCGGAAGCCCAGGCAGCACCATCCTTCGCCTTCTGACTCTTGCTGTTCTTGAACTTCCTTCTATACCACTTGCCATACGAGAGGAGGTAGTACAGCCTGAAACAAAGCAATGCGAACTTGTCATGCTCAAGGTCCTCCGGATAGTCAGCACCCATGTCCACAGCGGCAGCAATGCCAGACATGATGGCGATCTCGTGAGCATTGACCAACGTCCATGAACCTGCAAAGCGAATACGCCTCTTGGCCTGGAGGAACATGATCCAGGGCACGACGAAAGCGTAATGGGTCCATGAGTGGCAGAGCTGGTGCCACCAATCGCTGCGGATGATCTTGTCCTTGTTGATCTGGTCGTCGGTCCAGTGCTTCCGGTCGCGGTTCTTGTTCAGGTAGATCGTCTGGAAAACGTGCTGCTCAAAAGGAACCTTTTCGGGGAACTGAGACTGGTAGTTGGTAGTGTCGAAACACATCTCCAGCTTGGAGAGGTCGTCGTCGTACATGCGGATGTAATACATGGGCCTGAAGTTGTCCTTTGCATACTCCAGACGCGAGGATTGATCAATCTCACGCTTGTTTCCGAGAGCCTTGACCGCCTTGGACTCATCGTAGAAGTTTTCATAGTACTTCTTCATGTAATCGGCATCGTTGTGGGTGACGGTGATGTCGTCGGAGAATGTCGCGGCTCCCAAGACCTTGCGTTCGCGCCAGGATGACGTCTTGCCCAAAATCTTCTTCGCAGTGTCAGCGAGGACGCACATGACGATATCGTCGTAGTGCTCCTCGGACTCAGGTGCATCTGGATCGCCTCCATTGGGATTGTGGCCATCTTTGACTGGAGTGCGAGGCTTCGTCTTAACCAGCACCCCGCGCTTGTTTCGGTGTACGATCTCGGTGAGTTCGGTGGACAGGCGGACAGTGACTCCACGGCTTTCGAGGTCCTTCTTCCAAGTCTGGTAGAAGTCGCTGAAGTTGGGGAAGACGACCATGGGAGGGAGGTTCGAGGCGACGCTGTGCTTGTCGGGAGGGTACCACATGCCGTAGGTTGGCGAAGTGCAGAGTCGTTCTAACATGATGGCAGGCACCTCCGGCGTAGCATTGCCCGTTCCAAGAAACAAGGCCGTCATTGGCAGGCCGATAACATTTGTGAACTCGTCGGAGAAGCGGAACAGCTTGAAGAGAATCTTGAGCGGCATCAAGGCGAAGAAGACTTCGAACCAGCGCATGAACTTGAGCATGAAGGCGAGCCTTTGAACTTCTTTCTGGTGCTTCACCATGAACTCGGTGGGAAACACGTTCGACCAAAATTTCTCATCCTTGCCGAAGGAGACCTGGAGCTTTACTGGGTCTGCGTGATAGCCCTGTCGGGCGAACATGGTCAGCGTATGGTGGAAGATGTAGCTTCCACCCTGGACTCCTTGATTGAACCAGCTCGCGCCATGTCGCTCCTTGTCGAGAGGGATCGAGAAAGCCTGTCCGCCGCAGTAGTCGACCGAGTCGATCAGGGTAACGTCGAACTTGTCGGGGTGGTTCGAAAGATGGTATGCCGTCGACATGCTGCACGCTGTAAACATTCATCCGATCTCGGTCTCGAGCTCGCGGTCACGATCACCTACCCAGCTGCGCCAGCGCCAACAACAAGGACCCTCTTGCGCCCATCTTTGCCAGTGTTTCCGTTCTGCGCCATGTTTTCGGAGCCGTTCTGCTCAAGATCACGGTCGAATGTTTGGGTTGCCATGAAAATGAGGAGAGGAAAGGCTGTGCTCCCTTGCTTTGAATAGCTCCCTCTTCTGCAGCATGGATGCCCCCCGGAATGCTGGAAGCTCAAATATGGGCTGAGACCCGTGTCACTTCGCGTGTCTATGACGCTGTGACATTGAGTTTTGATGAGGTCATCCCCGGCCGACCCTCTTTGTCCACTAAATTAGCTGATGGCCGCCTACAGATTAGCGATTGCGCCGGGAGATCACCCCTCGATGATCGGAACTAGTGGGGGGTTTTCGTCTTAGTGGGGAACTAAAGAGCGCGTCTCTGCAACGCGACGTTCATGACGACTATGATCACTACCGATGTGGCTGTTTTGCGCCGATGGTACATTTCTCGCATCCATTTTGATCCTGTAGATACGTTAATCAACACAATTGACTCTTGATTGTTTCTATTCATCTCCCTGAATGAACAATGGTCAACAGATCCGGCCTAAACTCGCTCTTCATCATTGGCAAAACAAACATAGCTAATGACGCCTATGATAGTATCACAACTTAGCAGCATTCTCGAATTTCACAATCTGACGATCATCCGTCCTCGGATTCCACCAAGGCCAGAATGGCATACTCTCGCGACTGACCGTGTCCGTAAACTTGGGCTTCCTCTTCTCCAAGAAGCTCTTCACGCCCTCAATGTTGTCGTTCGTCCCAGCCATCTGGACAAATATTCTGGAGTCCAAGATATGTGCCTCCTCGGGTGTTGGAGGACAGTACACCATCATGTCATGCATCATCTTTGTGCTAACCAGGGACGTGTTCTCCGCGATGTCCTCCGCTAGCCTGAGTGCGTACTCGACTGTGTCTTGAGGTGTGGGCAGAAGCTTGGAGAACAGCCCGTTGACGAGTGGATCGGCGACGGGGTACACATCTCCAGTGGTCGTGACGTGGCTCGCCTTGGATAGTCCGATGAGTCGGGGGAGGAAGAAGGCGCTGCACGACTCGAGGACCAAGCCACGACGAGCAAAAGGAAAGCCGACTTTGGCACCCTCCCAAGCAACCCGGATGGCGGCAGGAAGAGACATGGTGAGGCCTACACCCACGGCCGATCCATTGAAAGCCACGATCGTGGGCTTCTTGCAGTTTGAGATGGCAAGTGCAAGTCGGCCGCCCCTTTTGCAATTCGTCAATGAACCACGTTTCGCAGCTGATGTCTGACGAGATGCTTACCAGTCTCTAAACTCATTCATGGAGTCCTCAGTCTCTTTCAAAGCGACCATACCCATGAACCCTACATCAGATCTGCTCCAGCAGAGAAGGCTTTACCTTCGCCTGTCAGGACTACCGCACGTACTCTGTCATCCTCGCTGACCGTGTTGAAGAAGGACTCGAGGGTGAGAAACATGTCCAGTGTCATAGCGTTGTACTTCTCGGGACGGTTGAGCGTCACCACGACCAGCTTCGTTGCCGTTGGTGAGTTGGCTGGAACATGAGAGAATGATATGTTGTCATGATTGATAGAAGTGTACGAAGTAGGGGGCTGACTAGCTTTGACGTTCATGTTGATAATAATTTGCTTACAGCATACAAGGTGCAGAGGAAAAGAGAGATGCTAAGGATAAAGCAAACTATGAATGGCATTCCGACCTCAAGCTGTTTCTTGATGTTATGCCTGCTGTAGCTGACCTCGGTACCACCGGAATCGGGGTTGAATAATAATCAGTCTGCGCAACCAGTGTCATCGCATGCCGACGGGACTGAAGACCAACTACCCCGCATCTTGGACTGCATATCAACGTTCGCTTTACGCAGAAGGACCTGGCAAACAATGAATCGGATTTATTCCCGGGATTGTTGGTAGCATAAATTGCCGACTTCCTGTAGTCGAATTATGTGAATAGTAAACACCCCAGCCCCGTGCCTCGGTCTTCGTCCATCTGGCTGTTGAGCAAGCTACATATTCACCTTATTTCAATAACAGCCTTAAACCCTAAGCATCTAATGAGACACCCAGAGCCTTCTACAAAGAAGAATGGAAGTATGCCGTGTCCAAAGTTGCAACTGTGGGATTTGACTTGGGAAGTCGGAAGCGTTACTCCAACAGCGAGTCTGAAATTCCTAATCTCGATGCATCTTTTCGGTGACTTGAAAGGCATCCTAATTCAGGACTCACCAAAACGCAACAGGGAGGTGCACACTCCAGTCCTCCTGATCACCAGCCACGGTGGAAGTAGGATGTTGGCAAGGCTGCGGCTGAAGTTCAGCCAAATATCGCCAAGATAAGCATGACGTAGGCAAGCTCTCCCTTACACGGGCACTCTACGAAGCATCAATTACATGACGCAAATGGATCATGTCTCGTAACAAACAATTGAAGGGGATGTAAGCGTGAAGAAGAAACGTGACAACACGCCTGTCTTAGTCTTACTCATAATCCCGGGAATACCATCCTATCCCCCCTTTCCCTCTCGTAACCTATCTAGAACAACAATCTCTTCATCTGCACATCTCCTGGTAATCATAGGTACAGGTTCATTATTTTCATTGCCCTGTAGAATGGACGCCGCTCAGCTCTTTCGTCGGGAACCTGCCAACCCGAACTGCGTCAAGGGGTGCCTAGAACCTCCCGATGACCTGGAGCCTAATCCAGACGTCGGAGGTGTTGGGGTAAGTTGTGATCAATGTGAAAGAGATCCATGTCCCAAAACTGACGATGGCTCCGTTTTTCAGGTAGTGATTGGATTTCTGGGGACTGCATGGCTTGTGGTGATCCTGGCAACGTTTCGGTACTGCCTTGTCTTTGACCCTGCCACCGATCCGCTTGAAAATCCAGACCGAGGCCTACGATACGGCAAAAAGCATATTTGGAAATCAAATGTTATTGATGTGAAAACGATTGCCATGTTTGCAGGTCTTAGGAAAAGGCTTGGTCACGACTCGCGTTCACGCTGGACAATGGCTTTCAACAAGGTAGTTACACTGTTTAGCCATCCGGTCTCCAATAGTGATGTTCAAGATCGGCGCTAAATGAACTTATTGAACAGATACTTCTCAGCATGTGCGACATACAGCTTCTAACCGGCCTGGGGATTCTCCTCAGCGGTTTCATCAGTCTCTCATGTTATATGTCGGCGTACCACTGGGAACTGATCAGCTACTTGGCCTGGTTTTCGAATCTAACACACGCGGCTTGCCTGTCAGCTCTTCGGGCTCATCTGTATCGTAACCAAACGGAGCGCAACTACAGAATGGTATTGATGGCCGTACTTCTAGCCGCATTGATCACGGCCATGGTACCTACGAGTTATTTCAACTGGGACGCTCCCTGGGAAAGTACAGCAAGCGTGCCATCTTCGAATGCCAGGTGCTTTTTCAGCCACAACACCGCGCAAGCCGTGTGGAATTCTCGTATATGCAAAGATGAACGATACTCAGGTATACCTGCAGATGGCTACCGATGTATTCATCCTAGGGGAGTCGAACCCATCACTGCAACCAACTCGTACGAGTCGTCTATGATATCAATTGGCCTATTGATTTTGAACTTTGTCAGCCGATCTATTAAGATGTTCCGCACACTATCGGAGATCACGAAGGACACGATCAGAGGAAGGGTAGCCCGTTGGTTAGCGCACTGTCTCACTGCCACTGCAAAGGCTCACCGACGCTTTGGAAATACGCCGCCCAAAAGAAGACTGCTGGCAATCTTAAGGCCCTTAGACTTGATGACTTCCTCTTACTTGGTGACGAAGCTATATTTGGAGATAATGTTGTCCGAGTTAGCTGACGTGAGTGGCGCTCATGTTTCCCACTCATGTATATCGCCTAACATGTAAGATGTATAGCTGTTCTGGCTTCTAATATCCTTGCTCTGGGGAACAATCCGCCTATTGATGGCACGCGGTTCAGTTAAGATCAACGACTCTGAAAACCAATGGGGGTTCGGGCAGATCTTACCTGTTTTCCTTCTTTTAGGGCCCTTGGCGACAATCGGCGTGTCCATACTCGTTGCGACACAGACCCAGAAAGAAGTCAAAAAACGAGAACATGGTAGAGGATTAGATTGTCAAGTCATAACCCTGTTAACGGCTTACAGAAATGGTAAGGCCTCACATTTCCTTCTTTCGAGATCACAAGGACAGGCGTTGATGAGAACACAGAGATTTTGACAAGGCAAACGACTGACCCAGCAGTTCCAAGTCGAATATCAAGGATAATACGGGAAATCGAATCGAAAGAAACCGCAAGTGAAGAATCCTCAACATCGAATCAGAACAGCCTGCAAGCAGTCCCACTGAACGACTTGCGGCAATCTCGTGGGGGGGCGGGACCTCAAGAAGTTAATATTTTATTACCTCAGAATGGATCGTTAACCATAAGCGTGGGAAGTGAAGGCGAAATCGTGGCACTTTTGAATCAAGCCACTTTTATGAGATCGGTACATGCGGATGTGCGAAATTCGTTGTCATTCTACTTTTCGCAGTCGCGTTGGCTGACGAGCGTCATGTGGATCGTGTGTCTGCATCTGTTCTTCTTGGTAGTAACGGTTTTTGTGTTGCTGCTCTTCTACAAACCGTCAAACATTCTGAAGCAAGCGGCCATTTGTGCTTTTTTTGTACAGCCTATCAATATTTTTGTTGCGGTAACCTTGGGCCTCAACATCGACGACCGGCGAATTTCAAAGCTTCGTCTGAAACTCGTGGGTATCTTGTTGTTCACAACCCTCTCGGCCTGGAGCATCATCACAGCACTTTCCTTTCTGATGCGGTTTGGATGGAGATGGTACTACGCCACAGCACATTTGGTCGTTATTCTCGTCCAGTTTGTCTATCTGGGTTGGAAATAGTCAAACGTTACCAGTGACATCCCAGTGGGTTTCATTCTCAAAAACCAACCTAGAATACAAGGGTATTTTGGTTGCTGATCTCCGTCGTCAGAGATGCGTGGGGAATATAGGGCCATAAATCTCGTTACCAGTCCCAAGGATGGGAAAGGGTTATGAGTAGGAACGTTCTTGAACAGCCTCGGAAGAACGATTCATCGAGTCATCTCGAGGCACTGAACTTGAACGCGGAGAGATGACATCAAGTTTCCCGGGAATCAACAGTATCGCCGACTCTTCGAAGCCCGTCAAGACGGAAAAAACCCGCAATCATGCGAGACGACATAGCCCCCGCGCAAGTTTTCTCATTCCCAAAGCCTAGATCAGGAAATGATGGACCACGCTCAAAGATAGACACGCACGAATGCAACTTCCTAAGCGAAACATCCGAAAGCACTCTGCATATGCAACGGAACCCCCGACCAAGCCCGCAGATCCGGTCCAGAATGCCCAAGCAGCAACCCGTATTTCCACGTGCGCTCGCCAAACATGGCCTTCTAGAATCCCATAATCCCAAATATCCGGGTCCAAGCAAGCTCACCGCTAGACAGTTCGCGGAATCCGCTCCAGCATCCCCCAACACCACACGGCGCAGCCCCAACAGCCCCCGACAAACATGTCAACGACCCTGGTGTTTGCTACTCGGGGGCGTCTCAGCCGGCTGGTGAACGGCCATGCACAATGCTTTGCCGAGCCTATTCAATGTTGCTATCCTTCCCGATCGGGAAAATGCACCCAGCAACCACCAAGAGCCGTTACCCACCCCCCATTGGCCGGTGACTTTCACCGAACAGACTGCACGGCATGGCTTGATATCACCTCGCTACACAAGCCAATGAAGGCCCCCGGCAGATTTCTTATTCAACTCCTCGACAATGAGAAGGCTCTCTTCAGCTGTTACACAGCACACTCGGGATACAACGCTGTTGGGTGACGGATCTCCCGCCCGTCCTGGACCCTTGTTTCTGAATGCCTATTTCTTGTGCTTTCAAAGAGATCAAAATGTCGCGAGTTCCCGTCTGCCGTGGCCGTCCCATCCCACCATCCATCTAACCTCTCCGATACTCAACCATGGATCATCCCGAGACGAAGAAGCCTCACGACGAGGAAGCCGTCCACGTCCGTGAACATGGGCCCTCCTCCCTCGACTCGGACAGCACCCACCTCGACGAAATCGACCAAGACTGCCTCCCCGATGACTACTTCCGCAGCAAGTTCTTCCTCGGCTCCATGACGGCCATCGGTCTCGGCCTCCTCGCCGGCGTCTGCGGCTTCGCCTACGCAGCCCCGATCCTCACCGTCATCAACGCAGACATCGGACCGGTACGTCCTCTTCCCCTTTACTCCTCTCTTCAACCTCACTAACACCCCGTCAAAGGACCCAAACATCGTCTGGGCAGCCCTTGTCTACACCCTCACCTCGGCCGTCTGCCTGACCATCATCGGCCGCGTGACCGACATCTTCGGCCGGCGCCCCGTCTTCATCGCCGGCGCCGCCCTCGGCGTCGTCGGCAGCATCGTCGCCGCCACCGCAACCTCGGTCAACATGTTCATCGGCGGCACCACCATCATCGGCATCGCCGCCTCCACCCAGCTCTCCTTCTACTACGTCGTCGGCGAGCTCGTCCCCATGAAGCACCGCCTCGCCGCCAACGCCGTCTGCTACGTCTTCTGCATCCCCGGCTCCGGCTTCGCCCCCGTCATCGCCCAGGCCTTCGTCCAGTACCACCCCCACATCGGCTGGCGCGGCTGCTACTACATCCTCATCGCCATCAACGCCGCCTCCCTCGCCTGCTGGGTCCTCTTCTACCACCCGCCCACCTTCAAGATGAAGCACGGCGCCCACGCCCGCATCTGGTCCTACGTCCGCGCCTTCGACTACCCGGGCGCCCTGCTCTACACCGGCGGCCTGCTCGTCCTCATGCTCGGCCTCAACTGGGGCGGCGTCGTCTACCCCTGGTCCTCCGCGAGCGTCATCGCCACCATCGTCGTCGGCGTCGCCGCCCTCGCCGCCTTCGTCGCCTGGGAATCCCTCGCCGCCCTCCGCGAGCCCTTCGTGCCCATGCGCTACTTCCGCAACCTCGGCTGGGTCGCCTCCGCCATCCTCTCCGGCCTCGCCGCCAGCGTCTACTTTGCCTTCGCCCTCGTCTGGCCGCAGATGGTCACCGTCCTCTACGCCGACCCCGTCAACCGCCCCTTCTTCGGGCCCCTGCTCTCCTCCTTCGTCGCCCTCTTCACCCTCGTCGGCCAGATCGTCGGCGGCTTCTCCGGGAAGTACATCGGCCGCCTCAAGTGGCAGTGCGTCATCACCGCCCTCCTCGGCGGCGTCTGCTTCGCCTCCGTCGCGACCTGCGGGCCCGACACGCCCACCCGCGCCACTGTCCTCGTCTGCTTCGGCGTCCTCCTCGTCGGCTGGGTCGAGGGCCTCTCCATCTCCATCACCACGCTCGCCGCGCCGGACCAGCTCAACCTCGGCGGCGCGAGCGGCATGGCCGGCAGCATCCGCTTCCTCATCAGCGCCGTGGGTTCGTCCGTCTACAACGTCATCCTGAGCAACCGCCTCGCCGAGACGGTGCCCGCGCGCGTGCCCGCCGCCGTCGTGGGCGCGGGGCTGCCCGAGGCGAGTGTGGCGGACTTCATCGCCGGGTTCGCGACGGGGGAGTTTGGGGGCGTGAAGGGGCTGACGGATGCGATTCAGGCGGCGGGTACGAGGGCGTACCAGGAGGCTAGCGCGGACGCGTTTAGGACTGTGTTCTTTGCGAATATTGGATTTTCTGTTGTCGCGGTTGCGTGTGCGCTGTGTCTGCCTGATGTGGATAAGTATCTGACGAGCAAGGTTGCGGCGACGCTTCATCAGGGGAGGGACGAGAAGAAGATGGCGGGGGAGAAGGAGGCTTGAGGGAGCTGATTGGATGTCCATCTTTGTTACATCGAGCAGCCTCCGGTAAACCAACAGATAGTAGAAACTGCCATCGAGACTGCGGTTACCACCATGTCCCGGTCTCATCCCGAATCTGCCTTGCTTCACCTTACTCTTGCACTTACTGAACCTCAATCACACCGTAGTTCCACTAAACTGTTGCCTCGTCGCCGCCTTGTTGGTTGTCTCCACGATAAGGCTGACCTAGGACGTACAGACACAAGAACCCCATCAGCCACCCCCATAAGCTGACGACGATCCTCCCGCCCCCATACAGGGTCCATCACATGCCGTTGAACCGAAGTCCTGGGTTCCGCCAGATGTCCACTCGGATGAACACCGATGGCACCCCAAAAGTGCTCGGTACCTGCCTCGTAAGCCGGGAGAGAGAGACGAACCGCAGCCTCAGCAGCTGTCGTAAGCAGGCAGCAGCATGCGAATTGAGTAAGATACCATGTCAGAATGCTCACGAATGAGAATATTCAGAATTTTCAAGCAGTAGTGAGATTTGTGGACATGTCCGACACCGCCACGCTTGGCTGTGATGGAAATTAGTCTCAATTCTCGAGCTGACTCCATCTGATGCAGACGAAGCTGAACATTTGAGACGAAGAGATGTCGAATGACGTGAGTGCCACTCTTTCGATCTATTCCTGATACGAGAAGAATGCAAGTTTACAAATGCTTGAAACATATTCTGCGATGCGTCCCGCATGCACGTCGGCCCTTGGCAGCGCGGGCTGACCCAGCTTGACCGATGCTCGGATGCTCCGACCTCCACCTCCGGCGACCGATAATCTTGGCCCTCCCCCTCTCAAAGCTCCTCAAACACAGGTCCCGTCTCCGAAGCCAACTTGGCAGCAACGGCATTCAACCACGCCCCCAGCCTCACACCCGCGCGCCCGATGACCTCGTCGACGACCTCCCACGTCTGGTCGTAGTACCCCTCGCTCAAGTCGTGCGCCTTGAGCCACTGCAGGCCGGGCTTCAGCACGTGAGAGCATACAAAGGCGTTGGACTCAGTCGCCCAGCCG